GGGGGGGGGGGGGCGCGGGCGGCAGCCGAGCCGAGTGTTTCTCTCGCCTGGATGTTTCTTTCTCCGTCTCCCTCTACCCCGTCCCCTCCCTTCCACTTAATCAATGGAAAGAATGCCCTGCGTGAGGATTAACAACAGCAACGGCAAAAGCTTCAATTAATGTAGCTACACTGGAGAACTTCAGCGTTACGTATAGGAATATGTGTAACAAAACAGGGACTTGGCTCGCTCAGAGCCCTCCTGGGAAAGACTGTGGTGGTCATTTTGCTGTATCTTTTCTCACTCTAGGAAAATGACGTACCCATTCATTCATTCATTCATTCATTCATTCATTCATTCATTCATCCTGTACATGATTAATGTGCTTATTTTGCTTCCAAGCATCCTTCTAGCTTTTGGGCATATCGATGCCGTGCTATGGAACCAANATTAATTTGCTTATTTTGCTTCCAAGCATCCTTCTAGCTTTTGGGCATATCGATGCCGTGCTATGGAACCAATTAAGTCAGTAGTGCTTACTTCCTTAGAAAACAACTAGAATCACACTTTTTAACATAAAAAAAGAAACAATCCTTTAATAAATATTTTAGAAACCTCTCTTGTGGCAGGTCCAGCAGGGGATACTAGATAGAGATCGGCTTGTTGTGGGGGGAGTGGACAGAAGCAGACGGAAAAATAACTTTTAAAAAGCTCCTCACCAAAAATGGAGGCCCAGAGGAATCTCTTCATTTAATTATCAAATGTTTGTTGTTGCAGGTGTTGGAGATAACGTGGTGAGCATGACAGGCCTGCTGGCATGGGTCAGGTGGTGGAGGCAGAGTAGTAAGATGACTGTTGTGGAAAATGACATGGGGCTGGTTTCAGAGGGTTGTGGAAAGATGTGGAAGGGGCGCCTTAGCCAACTTGGGGCATGATGGTTTTCCATCTAGATTTGTTGAGACTTGTCTAAGCTAGATTATAGAGATGCAGGCAAAGAAATATGTTACCACTTTCAAGGAGTTTTCCGTCTAGCCTGCGAGATAGCAGTAGTAGTTGTGTTTTTTAATTTTTAAAAAAATCCTCACCAGAGGATATGTTTTTCATTGATTGCAGAGAGAGAGATGGAAACATCAATGTGAGAGCGAAACATTGATTGGTTGCCTCCCTTGTGGCCCCGGCCTGGGGATTGAACCTGAAATCTGGGTCTGTGCCGTCACTGGGAATCGACCCTGCGACCCTTTGGTGCACAGGACAATGTGCCAACCAACTGAGCTGGCCAAGGCGGCAACTGTAGTAGTTTTGACAGAAGGTTGTGCCAGGAACTGGGGTGAGCTTTTTTACATACCTCATCTCATTTAATTCTGTCATACAGTTGAAGGCTTGTTCTAGTTATCCACATGAGGGAACTGAGGTACAGAGAGGTTAGGTGACTTGTCCAAAATCACACAAATGAAATAAATACACCTCATGTATGTAAGTGTTGGAGACCAGATTCCAACCCGGGCAACATAACCTGGGATTCCATGCCCTTACCTGCTCTTTGATACTATCTCTAAATTCAGTAGCAGTTGCTAAAAACAGGTGAGTGCCCAAGTTAACAAAAAAACGATGGTTTTAAAATTTATTAGGGTATAGTACACATGCTGAAAGGTATACTTTTATTTTTTTTAATGTAGTTACAGAGGGTCAATGGGTACAAGTTTCAAGGAAGTTAGATTTTATTCCAACTAAAGAAAAATCGTTTTAGTCATTTAACATACAGTTTATCTGCCATGTATCCTGTTCACTGGGCACTGTGATTACCTTTGGAGATACGGTGGCAAACAAACCAAACCCAAAGACAACTACTCTGGAAGAAATGAAGACGTGGGATAGAGATGGAATAATATTGGAGAATCTACTTTAGATGGAGTGACCAGAGAAGGCTCTGAGGAGGTGGCATTTAAGCTAAGATCTAAAAGATAGGAAGGGACAAAACATTTGGGTGGGAAGTGGGGAGAGTTCAGATCGAGCAGCATGTGAGAAAACCCTTAGGTGGAAAGAGTTTTGAATGTTAAAGTGGTGGCTGAGGCCTTGTGGGTTAGAGTAGTATGGCCAGGATGAACCTGGAGGGGAGACAGAGCCAGCTGAGGTGAGTCTTTGTGGGCCCTGGAAAGGAATTTGGATTTTATTTGAAGCATAATGGAAGCCATTAGAAGGATTTAGTATCAAAGTGGTGTAGAAATGGAGTGGCTGTTTTTTAAGGTTGGGAGCAACTCTGAGACAGGCCGAGCACTCCTGAGGAAGTAGTTTTGCTTACTACTGTGTTAGCAGTGCCTGACACTTTGTAGGCACTCGGCATAACTTGTTAATGAGTGAGTGAAAGGTACAGAGCCTGGCATGTGGTAGACATTTAAATGTTTCCTTCCTAAAGCTCCATGAGGGGCATTGAAGGGCTGGACTGTTGAATAAGGGGAGAGCTTCTGGGTTGTTAGTTTTCATTTGGAACTTAGTGTGGGTTATTGAGAAGAAAACCCTCAAAGAGTATGTTGACTGGTGCATGCTTTTAGGAAAGTAGTTTGGAACTAAGTATTAGCAACTTAAAGATGTCTATAACATTTAGCTCAGCAAAGATAATAGGAGGCCACTTACACATTAAACAGAAGAGGATCTGTTAGGTAAGTGATGTTAGATGCACTTCGTGGACTATTCAGCAGCCCTTGGCAATAGTGCTTGTGGGGAGCATGTGCTATAATAACATGGAAAATGCTTATGAGAATAAAAGTTAGAAAAGATACAACAACACAGCACATACATCTGTTCATGCCTAATCAAAACTACTATTAAAAATAATATTCCTAATAAAAAATACTATTTCATTCGTTTTCTTAAAAGCTGCATTGAAATTCTCCAAGATAACACAAAATAATTTTGATAGTAGCATTACAGCACACCTCAGATATTACGGGTTTGATTCCAGACCACTGTAATAAAGAGAATTGCAATATAGTGAGTCTTAATCTTTTTGCTGGTGGAGAAATGACTTCCATTTGTAAAAAAAAAAGGCAACACCTGTGAAGCGCAGTAAAGCAAAGCACAATAAAATGAGGTATGCCTGCACTTTTTTGGTTTTTTAAATAAAAGCACTTTAGGTTTTTAAAACTAGCACACCCTTCATCACATCTCCTTTTCTTCCAGCCTGCCTCCTCTCACTCCTCTTCAGTGCCTCACTATTTCATCGGCCTTCTAGTTCATCTGCTCACCTGGCTTGTTCTCGAATGAAACCAAGGGCTCTGCTGCAGTTACTTTTGCCCAGTCCTAAGTTGCAGGTGAAAGGACTTTGGCAGGTGTGGGTGCTATGCATTGAAAAGTACAGGCGTCCTTTGCATGGCAGTGTAGGGCTGTAAAACTGAAAGTGCAGGTGGAAATCCTGAGAAGTGGTCTTATGAGAAAAATGGTAATTTAATGACCTTTAAAATTCCTGTCAATGTTAAAAATTAAAAACTCTTGTTGTCGACTGCTTTGTACGTTTGGGTCAACTTCCAACATTTTATCCCGTGTGCTTTCAGAGTTCCTTTCTTGTGAGGGTTTTGCGGGTGTGACTTCCTGTGGGACAACATCCTCTTCGTCACAGCCACCTCCTGACGTCGATGAGTTCGCCTTCACTGGTTTCCGTTGGCTGCATGTCTAGTCTCTCGAAAGACAGGAGTGTCAGTATTCCCTAGGCCAGCTAGTTATTCTATAACTCAGTTTACATATGACTTGAATTTCACTTTCATTGTCGCTACTTTTCATGTACTTGCTGCACTTTCATCTTTGTTGGCCAGTTCCCTTTTTGATGACCATTTTTGGAAAATGTCACTGGTACTATAATTGGAACTGTGTTGGAGGACTTGAATGAATTACTTGTAGTTGAAATTCATGTGTGTCGGTACTTTGCAAAGTCCAAACACTGCTTGTAGTGTTTTTTCTTTTTTTTCTTTTCTTACTTTAGTGAGGTGGTTCTTAAAAAGCTTTTTCACAGCACTTGTGTCTGCTCACTGGACCTGCCCTTATGCGAGGACCACTGGCAGAAGGGGACTTGAGGGGAATGGCACGGGTATGTTGCCAGGGCTTAGGTGGAGTTAGTAAACAGAAGAAAGATAAGAATGGAGTTACTGGACATGCTGTTAAGGGAAGTTTTCAGTGTTCTTCACCCCAAATCTTTCCTCCTGGAAGGCAGCCTCCTAGTCTTCAGCCTGGAGTGAAGGGAAGTTAACATCTGATAATGAAGCACTATCTCCTACCCATAAGGAAGGGAATGAGTCTTCATGTTCTCAGGTGTTTTATGTGACTGCGTCTTTTTGGCATTTAAGTCAGTGAGCAGGTCTTCTGTTTGCAGTACTCAACAAAATTTGAACAATACAAAAATTAGCAAGATAGTAAAAATACTCCTCATCCTGAGTCTCTTTCCACAGAGGTAATAACTTTTAGCGATTTAGTGTGTCTGCTTCTGGACTTCTAACTATGCACACATAAATAGATACACATTTCTTTGAAAGGCAGGATTATATAAGCATATATTGCTGTATAGCTAATTTGATTAACTTAAAAATCTAACAAGTTTCTGTGTCAGTGGGTTCAGATTCACCTCATTCTTTTAAAGGCTGTGTGGCAGTCCATTACTCAGATGTAAGAATTGCTCTAACATTACTCCTGGGGTAGAACTTTAGGTTATTTCTAGCTTTTTACTGTTAATGCTGTAGTAAACATTCGTGTATATTTATGCATTTCCATGAGAGAAAGATTTAGAAATAAAAGAACTGGATCAAGGGTTTTATAATTTAAAATTTTCATTTTGCCAAATTGTGCTTCAGTGGGTTATAATAATTTGTTTTCCTTTATAGTGCCCACAACTATTCATATTCTTAACCTTTTCTAATTTAATTGGGAAAATGTTTTAATTTGTTTTTATTGGATCATTAATGATGGGTAAGCATCTTTTCATAATTTTGTTGGCCATTTATATTTTTCTTTTGGAAATTGCTTGGTCCTGTGTTTTGCAATTTTTAAAAAATCTGATGTACTTTTTTAAGGTCGATTTGTTGTACCCTCTAAATTATGGGTAATAACCCTTCCTTATAATCATCAATTTATACATTCTTCAAATAGGTGAGTGCCTGATGGTGTACTGGTGCTGGTAGCATATTGGTGAACACAACAGATATGGATCTTACAGCCTAGTGGGACATACAAACAACAGTGAGATGCTCAGTTATAGAATTAAAAATGTAACCGGCACGAGGAAACAAGTGGGTCCAATCCTAGACTTGGGGATTAGAGAACAGCTGTACAAAGTCCAAAACATGAGGAAGATCAGATGACCTAGAGGAAAAAGAGCTCAAGGTGGCGAGAAGGGCAAAGGGCGGAAGAACTTCTACAGCCTTATAGGATTTTGTTCTTAGTCCGAAGGGCTACTGGAAAGTTTGGAGGACTTACAGGCTGGAGGGTGGCCCGATGAAGTTGAAGTTTGCATTTTACAAAGGTGACTCTGCCTTAGTGTGGAGTGGCAAGGAGCATTCAGGACGGACGAATCCCTGGGGCATGGGGAGAAGACAAGCGTCCAGGAAGCAGGTCCGCAGTTCACTAACAAGGAGCTTAAAGCCACTGGTGGCTGCTTCCTTGTGGAGAAAACCGGGGAATGCCAAGGAGGGGTGTTCCCCGAGAAGCCATGTTAATGTTTTGGCTGGTTCTTCTTACCGGAGGGTTAGGCCAGTGGCCTGTGATGGTTTTGCTTAGTTAAATTAAACAAGTGGTTTCGTTTTATCCTGTAGTTGAGTGGCAGTTATTTTTAAATCTTTTCTGTTGTTGTGCAGCCTCCTTTTGAGAAATAAAGGTTTTATAGCACATAATCTTGACTGTTTTCAACTCTCAGTAATTTCAAAGCACAAATTAGACACTTCCTCTCTATAGCTGTTAGCACTTTTTACATTTTTTAACTTGAGGGAGAAGTGTGTGTTTTATCTATGCTATTCAAAGTTCACAATAAATTGTTATGCTGTAGTAAGGCTCGCTGGTTGCCTGGGTTATGTTCTAAATCTTTGGATTTTGTTTAGTTTTTAAGTTACCATTTTCAGTGTAAGCTACCGTAAATCTTGAAACTAATCATTTGCCTGAGAATCTTTATGGTAAATGATCATAAATAAACATTTCTCAGGCTAAAAAAATAAAAGAATTTGTTAGAGTTCCTTGTAATTCAACTGATGTTGACTTGTATATTTTGTACATAATTATGAACAAAACAACATTGATGTAAAGTAATAAGCACCCCTTAAAGTTTTTGTTTAAATCTTAAATATGTTGCTGTGTGGATAAACATATAGGTTGTCTTCTTCCTGCTCTCTGTTACCTGGTTTGCTTTTTAGTCTCATGAATTTAAGTGACATTTGAGTCACAGAAGTTTAAAATCTGCAGAAGCAGTTAGTAACTTTTGATTTATGTTTTACTAGATAAGTAGATTGATTCTGGTTATTTTATTCTCAGCAGATAAGAATTCTGATGAAGGATTAGAGATTCAGTGCATGCGAAGTAGCCAAAGAGATCGAAATTGTAATTAACTTATTGATTAAAATTTCGGAGTAGATAGCAAGCATTCTCAACCTTCTCCTAAGATTAAAGAGAAAATTATAATGAAGTATAGCATGTTTTTAAGGAATCCAGTCATATCAGACATTCTCAGCAGAATTTTAGTTCTTGAGCTTTCAGAAAATGAAGAGGCAAAATATTTTGTTTACACACTGAATTTTGTAAAATCATTTAAAAATAAGAGAAAATTTTTGAAAAAGGTTGGCTTTTTTAAACATTTTTTTCTACATTAGTTATGAGTCTTTTCCCATGACTTAGAAAAGGCCACCTTTATATCCAGAGAGAAATCCCATGTCATTTGTCATTCTTTTACTACCACATGTGGTTCTCTACTGGCACATCTCTGTTCTTTTGGTGACATCTTTTTAGGTCCTTCGCGGAATAGACCTTTATGGTCTTCGAGATTCTGTTGTGCCTTTCAGGCCGAGCATATAGAATAGTATTAATGTTTATGGTAATGTGCTTTTCTAGTATAAACTAATTTTTAATAATTTACCTGTGCTAGTTAATTATGGATTTCTCATCAGAGTAATTTCATTCTTCCAGTGGTTTCATTCTTGCTGTGGTTTTATCCTGAGTGGTAAGGCGAGCAGAGGGTGTTTGTAGGTAGTAAGCATTTTGTAAACCCAAAGGGTGGAGACAGCTGATCATTTCGAACTTTGCCTGTGTGTTTGAATAATACCAATTCTTCTTTTTCTGTGTTTTGGAATATATAGTTTTTAATGTATATTTTAACCTTTTGAACAGGTAATATAGCCACATGGTTCAAAATTCAGACCATAGCAAAAGTTGACAGTTCAGTTTAAGAGTTCCTGTCTTTCATCTGCATACAGTAAACCGGTTTCAATTCACATTTTTATCTGATGCTTTTAGACCCTGTGTATTGACCTTTCTCTGAAACTGTGTTTAAGTTTACATTTTTCTGAGTATTTTTTTATCTGACTAAGGTGTAACCAGTTTTAACATTCTCCATATGCTTCACATCGTCTTGAGGTTTAAACTTTTCTAAGTGCAGCTTTCTTTTTCAACGCAACATGGCATTTGTCTCAGGAGGTGATGGTAGATTGGGCCAGGTTTTAATGTCCTCTAGGAATTTAACTCTATTTTTCCACATTTATTCACTTAATTAAAACATTTATCAAGGGATTTTCAAATATATACAAAACAGCAATCCTTAGATATGTGATTCTTAAAATACGGATCTATATTCACAATACGCATTACCCATTTAAAAATAGAAGTCTCAAAAAAAAGTCTTACTGCAGATTCACCCCTCATTAGTTAAAAAGACAAAAATATAACATTTGGTCTGATATGGAAATATCACCAAAATAAATTAAGTGAAAAAAGTAAGGTTTAGCAGAGTGTATACTTAATACACCTTTTATTTAAAAGAAAAAAGGAGCCTAGCCAGGCGTGGCTCAGCGGTTGAGAGTTGACCTAGGATCCTAGGCGATCGGGGTTCGATTCCCAGTCAGGGCACATGCCCGGGTTGTGGGCTTGATCCCTAGTCGGGGGCGTGCAGGAGGCAGCCGATCAACGACTCTCATCATTGATGTTTCTATCTTTTTCTCCCTCTCTTTTCCTCTCTCTGAAATCAATAAAGATATATTTTTTTTAAAAAAAGGAAAATAAAGCACATTCATATTTGCTCATATATGTCTGAAGTACCTTTGGAAGGATACAATAAGAAAACAATCAGAGTGGTTATCTGATTACCAGGAACAGGGAAGGAGACTGTGAACCGTGTGAAAGTATTAAAAGTGAATTTAAAACTTATTTAAAAATGAATTTTAAAATTCACTTTAAAAAGAAAAACTTATTTAAAAATGTACAGTTTGAAAATATAGCACGATAATGGTTGTTTCCCCTGCAAAATCTCTAGATTTAGGGAGAGGTCTTTTGACTATGCCAGATAGTCCATGGATTGACAGGCGTGAGAAGGATGCTTTCAAGACGGGCTCCTTCTCCTCCCCGCCCCCAGATGTCAGAGAGCTTATTTTATTGTAACCTGTTTTCCCTTTTCTCCCCCCCCCCTTTTTTTTTTTTTTTAAAGGCTGGTGGGGTAGCAGGTGTCTCTGTTGACTTGATATTGTTTCCTCTGGATACCATTAAAACCAGGCTGCAGAGTCCCCAAGGATTTAATAAGGCTGGTGGTTTTCATGGAATATATGCTGGCGTTCCTTCTGCTGCTGTTGGATCCTTCCCAAATGGTAAAATTATATTGATATTCTCTCTGCAACAAAGCCAAGATAATAGGATTATTTTCAGAATGATATGTGGTGTTACCCCAAATAGAATTTCTTATGTGTTGTGGCTTATCTTCTGAATTTATTTTCTACTCATTTGCCCATTACTTTGAATCAACTGTAGATCCCATTCCATTGTATTTATAATAGAGAAAAATATGAGCAATCTTTAAAAAATGGTTTTTGTTATTAAAATTCCCAGTTAGAATCCTTAAAGTGTTATTCTAACATTGATTGTGGTGCCTTAGAGTAGTTTTTCAACCTTGCCTGCACAGTGGAATCTCTTGGGAAGCTTTAAAAGTTACTGATGCCTGTGTCACACCCAGAAGTTTAATTGGTCTGGGCTTCACCTGAGGATCAGGGCTTTTAATAGCTTCCCAGGGGATTCCAACGTGAGGCTGAGTTTAATAGTTACTGCCTCGGAAGGTCTTCTGAAGCAGGTGAATGTAAGAGGCATTAAACCTTTCTGTCTTCATGAAATTGTGCTTAGATGATGCAACCAGTTCCCATTAGCCTCCCAGAGGCTCTCCTCCCAGTGTCTTGCTTTTGTTTTTTGGGTTTGAAGTCATATTATATGATGTATGGCCCTCTTATTCTAGAATCGGTATTATCTGTTTTACTTAATCCACTTGTTAGTATACTTTTTTCAGATATTTACCTTATTTTAATTGCTTACTGATGCTTTGTATGGCATTGGAAAGCAACCAAGCAAACAAAAAAAACCACCACCACCACACACAATTATAGAACCTCTGTTCTAGGAGATTCTTAAATCCTGGGCTTTGATTTCTTTCCTCATGATAATTCGTGAGAAATTCTTTCATGTTAACTTGGTATTTAACTGTCCACCTGTGTTCACATGTGAGCACAGTATTCACATAGAGGTTTGTAGTGCACGGAGAAAACAGTGTTTCGGTCCCCTTGTTTCTTTCTTTCCCCTTCCCCTGCTCCAGCAGTCCTGAGAACAGCAAACTGCTTTGAGGCTATTCTTGAATTTTCACTTGTCTCAGTGCTCAATTGATTACAGTATGCCATTATTGAGCACCCACTCAGTGCCAAATATAGCTCTGTGTGTGGGAGAGGAGCAGTGGTTTTTAAATTTGACCAGATTGCAGACCCATGATCACCTAATCAGATTTTATGACGTGTTGCCTGTGTCCCACTTCTAGGGATCGTGATTTAATTGAAGGGCTATGACCTAGGAGTTGGAACTTTAAAAAAAAATCTCCAGGTGATTTAATTTGCAGACAGATATGGGAAACTTTGAACAAGGGAATTGAAAGGAATATGTTGCTAGGTCCCTATTACTAGGTCCCTCTCTTTTTTTCATCATTTGTTTTGTTTTTAATCCTCATGCAGGATATGTTTGGAGAGAGGAAGGGAGAGGAAAGGGAGAGAGAAGCATCGATGTGAGAGAGAAAAACATTGATGGACTGTCTCCCATACACACCCTGACTGGGAATTGAACCCACAACCTAGGCATGTGTCATGGCCGGGAATCGAACCCACAACTTTTGGTGCATGGGACAACACTCCAACGACCTAGCCACCTGGCCAGGGCTGCTAATCAGTTTTTATGGTGTCTCCCTCATTGTCCTGAAGATTTTTTTTCTTATGTTTTGCATCTAGAGATTACTGTTGGTAGATGTAGTATTGGCCATAGTCTGCAGGGCACATGGTGCTCTGTTCATCTCGCAGCACTGGTGTAGATTCTTGCCAGCAGGAGTGTTACATACAGAATGTGGCTGCAAATTTTTTTTGTAGGTGATAAAAGTGGTGGTCTTGCCAGGCTTTTTTTTTTTTTTTTTTTTGCCATTCGCAGAACATCAGTGAATTGGAGATGCTGAATAAATAGTGCCAGGGTTTCAGAAATGGTCTTTTTGTTTTTCTGTAAATTTTTGGTGAATTGAAATTTTCTGAGTGCCACTTTTTTTTTTCCTGCCTGCATTGGCCATTGCTCTTCTGGAAACAGTGTGGTCCTCATGGACGTGCATTTGTTAGCAGCCCGAGGAGTGTTTGCAACCACAAAGCTTGCTGACTTTGACTGTGGAGAACTGATCTTCACTATCAGACTCTTTCCCTATGTGTTTCAGACTTTAATATGACATATTCAGATGTTTTTCAAAGAATGACTGTCTTTCATTTATTTTTTATGCCTTATGTTTTATGGGAGTGATAAACATTTTTTGACTAAGAGTACATGGCAGGTCTTAGAGCCCTTTTGTGCAGCTAAGACAGTTCATGGTCATGGGAGTCACTTTTTTGAGATGTTGATTTCCAGTTTTAATTGTTGATTGTTTCCTTGATGTAAAGGTGGGTTGATGTATTAAAAAATATGCATGGTTATTTTGAATAAACAACAATAAAATACCATTAGATGTTTTATTTAGTTCAGGGATGTGTTTGCAATTTTAACCTGTCTATGCTGATTATTTTATGATTATATAAAGAAATTTACATCCCTTTCTAGAAAGCTTCCTAAAAAGTGTTAAGTGTGCCTGGCCAGCCTGGCTCAGTGGTTGAGTATTGACCTATGATCCAGGAGATTGAGGTTCAATTCCTGGTCAGGGCACATGCCAGGTTTCCAGCTGGATCCCCAGCAGGGGACGTGCAGGAGGCAGCTGATCAATGACTCAATCATCACTGATGTTTCCATCTCTCTCCCTTCCTCTCTCTGAAATCAATAAAGATATATTTTAAATAAATAAAGTTAAGTGATTTGTTAATATAAAATGGTAAATGCTAGGTTAGCTGTTAGGTTCCTTTGGGGCAGGTATCATGTCTTCTCCATTATTGTAAGTCCAGGGTTAGGCATATAATATGGGTTTGGTATATTCTGCAAAATTGAGGAGGGTGGGGAAAGAGTATTTGTTTATTATCTTTATCTGTTCTGTCATAATTTACTAATTAGAGATGTAATTTTTTTGACAAACATATTTCTTAAGTTTGTGAAAGACTGGCTTATTTTAAATTTCAGCTGCTGCCTTTTTCATTACCTATGAATATGTGAAATGGTTTTTGCACACTGATTCATCTTCATATTTGATGCCTGTGAAGCACATGTTGGCTGCTTCTGCTGGAGAAGTGGTAAGTAACAGGTTATATATATAAAATACTTAAGAAATACAATCATGCATATATATTCAGTACAGATATTACTTTATTTTATTTTTTAGCAGAATAAAAAAGACAATTTTTTAAGTTATGAGAGCTATACATTCCAATAAATATAAATGGATTAAGCATAGTAATTAAAAGACAGTCTAGATAGGATGAAAGAAAAATCCAGCTATGTACTATATAGAAGAGACAGACCTAAATCATAATGATACAGAAAGAATAAAGAGGTGGAAGAAAATAGTCATGAAAATTGTGGTGGCTTTGTTTTTTTAACACTTTATTAAATTCATTGGGGTGACAATGGTTAATATGAACATATAGGTTTCAGGTATGGGTTTCTATAGTACAAGATCTGTATATTGCTGTGTTCCCACCACCCAAAGTCATATCTTCTCCTGTCACCATGTATTAAGACCCCCTTTACCCCCCCACCTCCTTCCCTCTGGCAACTACCACACTGGTGGTGTGTCCACAAGTTCAGTTTCATAATCCCACATGAGTGAAATCATATGGTTCTCAGCTTTTTCTGCCTTACTTATTTCACTTAGCATAATATCCTGAAGGTCCATCCATGTTGTTGCACATGGCAGTAATTCATCCTTTCTTATGGCTGCGTTGTATTCCATCGTGTACATGTCCCACATCTTCTTTACCCAGTCCTCTATCACAGGACACTTTGGTTGTCGCCATGTCTTGGCCTCCATGAATAATGCTGCAGTGAACATAGGGGTGCATATATCTTTGCAAATACATGTTTTTGAGTTTTTTGAGTATATGCCCAGGAGAGGGATTGCTGGGTCCTATGGTAGCTCTAGTCTTAATTTTTTGAGGAATCGCCAGACTGCTTTCCACAGTGGCTGTACCAGTCTCCATTCCCACCAGCAGTGAGCGAGGCTCCCTTTTCCCACAGCCTCGCCAACACTCGTTATTGCCTGTCTTGCTGAGGACAGCCACTCTCTCAGGTGTGAGGTGGTGTCTCGCTGTAGTTTCGGTTTGCGTTTCCCTAATTGCTAGTGAGGTTGAACATCTTTTCATACATCTATTGACTGTTCGTATGTCTTCCTGGGAGAGGTGTCTGTTCAGGTCCTCTGCCCACTTTTTGATTGGGCTGTTTGTTTGGTGTTGAGTTTGATGAGTTCTTTATGTATTTTGGAAATTAAATCTTGTCGGAGCTACTGTGTGCAAGTATCATCTCCCATCTGGTTGGCTGCCTCTTTGTTTGGTTGTCAGTTTCTTTTGCTGTGCAGAAGCTTTTCGTTTGATATAGTCCCATTCATTTATTTTTGCCTCTACTTCCCTTGCCTTTGGAGTCAAGTTCATAAAATGTTCTCTGCAGCCAAGGTCCATAACTTTGGTACCTATGCTTTCTTCTATGTAATTTATTGTTTCGGGTCTCAAATTTAGGTCTTTGATCGATTTTTAGTTAATTTTTGTACATGGGGACAAACTGTAATCTAGTTTCATTCTTTTGCATGTGGCTTTCCAATTGTGGTGGCCTTTTATTATGTTAACATAGAACTGAGCTGAAATGCCTTTTCCTAGAGCTCCCTTTCCAGGATGGTTCCAGGTTAGGCTGACCACAGGAGACATTTGTACAAGGTGTGTAAGGTACAAGTGAAGCAGGTGTGTTTATGCTCAGGAGGTTGTTGTAGGGTCAGGCATGCTTGCGGTTCATACACCTCTTCACTGACCTGGTGATTCAGGCAGCTCCTCCGCTCCCTCAGCTTCTCCACTTTCTGAGTCAGGATGTGTGGACACTGTGGTGAGGGTGCCAGCTTATATGGCAGGTCACCCACATCATCAGATTGGTGAGAGACAACGCGAGTTCCAGTTTGTCCTGTATTTCCTATCACATCCATCTTTCTTGCCTGATTCCTGCCCTCTGACTTCTGTCCCAACGCTAGACGCAGAAGTTACAGTTCTACATAAACTGCTTAACCAGCTCCCACAATTACTGTTCACATTCCTATAATAACCTCTTATTATTCATAGTGGTTCTACACTGATCAGCCCTGCCTGATACAGAAATGCTAACTAGAAGAGCTGATAGAATAATGTTAATATCAGACCAAAAAAGGTTGAAAGCAAAAACCAAAGAGAACATTGTATAGTGATACAAGGAACAATTCTCCTGAGAGATGTAATGAACCTGAACCTGGACTAAGTAACAGTCTCAAAATATAAAACAAAAATATCCAGAATTATAAGGGGAAATGATTAAAAATGTAATGTTTATTGGAGATATTCACCATCTCTCTGTAAAAGTCTTTAAGCCCAGACAGGAATAAACTTGTAATACCATAGAAGATTTGAACACACAAGATCAAGGTTGGTCTAATGGCTCTGTATAGAGCTCTGCACCTGACAGTCAAAGATTATTCATTTTTATGAAGTATACTTGGAATAGGAATTAAAATGTACAAGCCAGTAGTCCACAAAGCAACTTAAAACAAGTAGTGTGGAGAAAATGTCATACTGATCGTTTGGCTTTGGTTTGGTTATAATGAAGTAAAACTGGGAAGCAGTGACAAAAGATAACCTGTCCTTCCCTGCCCTGTGTTTAAAAACTACCTGACCCTCCCTCACAAGTACTTCATGAGCCAAAAAGAAATCATAATGTGATAAAATATTTGTAATGGAAAAATAATACAGGGTTGTTTTTCCGTAACTAACAGAGAGGAGAAGGTTACCAATACACATTTTCCACCTCCCTCACCCACTTCGCTTTCTCTCAGCCCCTGCTGCCCAGCACTAGGGGACAGCCTCTGTTAGAGTGACTTCTGTGTCTCCATTCAGAAATGCCTGTTCTGTACTGTGGTTATCTTCCGATCGCACAGCCCGGTGTCGTGCAGCCTTCCCCAGCTGCCCCGGCCTGTGGGCAGGAGTGGACAGCAAAGTGGAGAAAGGGTCTCTGTTTGTGAACCTTTTAATTATTTTATCAAGCAACTTTTTTTTCTGTTTTGGAAAGTAGTGGTATATATTAATGTTAGGGAATTCGGAAAGAGAATCAGTTTTATAGCATTTACATGAAAAGTAATTATATATTGTCGTTTTGCTTTCCACGCATTGTTTTCCTTTAGAAAATTTGGATGAAAATCTACAAACTATTATAATTGAACTTTCTTCACTTGGGAATATTGAGACTGGAGATGCTGAAAAGAGAGAGGCTCTGACAGAAAAGTAAAAGTAAATACTTTAAGAAGATAATTAAAAAATAACAGCTTTATTGAGGTGCAAGTCACATACCATATAATTTACCCCTTAAAGTTTAATTCACTGGTTTTTAGTACATTTGCAGAGCTGTGCAGCCACCACCACAGTTTTAGAACATTTTCACCACCCCTGAAGGAAACGCTGTACCCATTCTGTTCATAGCCACGCGCCTTTCCCCGACCTGCCCAGCCTAGGCAACCACTCATCTACTTTCTGTCTTTCTGGACTTTTCATAGACAACAGAGCCTTATGCACAGGGTTCGTTCTCTACATCCTCACCAACACTTGGTATTTCTTGTCTTTTTGTCAATAGCCAAATGAATTTCTCAATCTAAGAAATTGGTTCTATGGGTCCTTGAAGAGAATGTTGAATGAAATTAGCCTGAGAGACATTAAAATCACTGAAGTGCTTTAAATAAAATTCCCTTTTGCCATTGGTTTAAAAATGATTTTGCAGAACACAAGTTAACCCTGGATTAAAAATGTTTGTCTTCATAATTTACTGCAGTTATAAAAGTGATGGACTAACAATATATTAATTTTTAAAATATATATATCTTTATTGATTTCAGAGAGAGGAGGGAGAGGGAGAGAGAGAGAAACATCAATGATGAGAGAGTCCTTGATCAGCTGCCTCCTGCACGCCCCCTGCTGGGAATCGAGCCCGAAACCTGGGCATGTGGCCTGACCAGCAATCAAACTGGGATCTCCTGGATCATAGGCGATGCCCAACTGCTGAGCTATGCTGGCTGGGCAACAATATATTGATTTTTTTTTTAGTAACAAATAACATAAAGTAGTAGTTCCTTCTATGAGCTAGAGACCCCTGTAGGAATCTAAGGAAACCTATGCCTGTTCCTCCAGTAAACTGGACATACAGACATTTACATAAAATTACTGGGGATTTTCAGTTTTTCATATTCTTACTCAAAGAACTCCATTGCTTGAATTCTATCTAAAAATTAGCTTGAACTACAATTTGAAAGCAATTTATACTTATTTTAAAAAGTCTTTTAACCTATTATCCTTGATTTAGATTGTTTTTTTGAGATTTGTTCTGAAATTAGCTCACTATATTCAGTTATTTTTAAGTACATGTTGTAAAGAATAACAAACCGTGTGTGAGCGTTTCAGTGTCTCTTAGGCTGTGAAAGCTCTGTACCCACGACAGCTTTTGCCACTGTTTTACAATTGCCTGTTGCTTTGATTAAGGTTAAAGAAATTCAGTATTTATTGAATTTATAAATAAATTCAGTATTTGGCTTACAGTTTTTAATATGTTACTGAGAGCAAGCAGCAAAAAGAACCTGGCCACTTACTTTATTTCATGTAGGGCCATCTTGCTGAAAGCCCCTTTGCCAAGACAGGCTTTCCTGTCTTGTCTCTTAGAAATGCAAAACGGTATTTAAACTGATATAATGAGGCAGGGCAAATGAGAGCTGTTAGAGTACTCATGTTAATGATACATCTTTTCATTTGTATAAAATGCTACATATTCTAATACTTTAATATCTGTAGCTCACATTTTTAAAATACAGAAGCCCTTGTAATGTAATATTCTGATGTGAACTATTGGGCATAGGAGATGCTGTAAGTAGACTTTAGTTAGAAAACAAGTATTGTAAGAGTGGAAATATGTAATTCTAGGACATTCTTATCTTTGTTGGGTCTTGTAGGGTTTCCGTAGTGCCTTTGGTAGTGAGACCTGCTGTCAGGTGTGTTTTGATAGCTTTTGTGGCACCTGGAGAAATTTA